ATGTACAGCTTGATGATATCGATCCTCTCTCTCTATCTATCTATCTATCTCTCTCTCAACTATTAAAATAGAGAATAAACATAAAATTATTAAACTATTGTTATATTTAAATAACCAAAAATGAATACCGATTTGTGTCGAAATGTGCGTATTTTTTCCATTCAATTGGATTACTCTTATAGTTCTGCAACAGATTCTGGACGTAATGGACATCAATGGAGTCGCTCTCAAACATTATTTGCAAATTCTTCACCAAATCGTCAAACGTATTGATTGTCGGCAACGCTATCTCGCAATCCATTGTATTATTTAACAAAAACTTTTACAAATTTAATTGAAAATTGTATACAAAGTTCGCAAAATAAAATCTAACTCTTAATTAACTCGTTGTTTAATAGTAACGAAAAAATAACTATCAATTGATTGGCAATACCATTGTCACACTTTTTATACATAGTGGAGAATCAATGCCACACGTGTTTAAAAACGCGTAAAATATAACAATAAAATGTGTTCACATTACATAATCAATTAATTATAGCAACAGTAAAATATATTCTTGATATTTAAATCTCATAAATTTAATAATACGTTATAATAATTATTTATTTTTATAGCATTATGAACACGTGCAAATAAATCTCATATATAAAATTACATTTTTTTATCAAATCATAAATAATTGGCCAATAATTTAATAAATTAAAATTTTTATTGGCTACTAATTTTAAACGAGTGATATAACATTGCCATCACATCTTAGTCATTAAATATTATATTTATGATTTTAAAATCATAACATATTAATTAGAAACATTACTTTCTAAATTTGTTTTGTCCATAAATCATAAAATGTATTGTTTGAAAGCAAGTTTATAATACAATATAATGATAATTATTTTCAAATTAATATCATATTTGATTTTAATCTTTTTAACCACAATTCAGCTGTGAATAATGTGGTTTATAGGATGGTTACAATAAATACATGCACATCTTATGATTATTTTTTAATTGTTAAGTAAATTATAAACTGTTTCATTTGCCACTCGTGACATCAATTGTTGCCACTATTTATTGATGAAAACTTATCTGTGTTGCTTTGAATTTATTTACAAATAATGTGTATTTGTATTAACGTTAAAAATTTAAATTTTTAAAATTTAAATTAGTTTTTATTCCAATATTTATTTAGTTTTTCTCCGATTTAAATATAATTTGAATACATAGTTTCATTTTGCTATACGTTAAAAATAACAATCGATAACAAACTATCGTAGTGTTTTAGTTATCTATATGCAATAATTTATTGTGTTACATAGAGCATATAAATAAAATTTATATTCATAATGTTTTAATTAGATTAATACTGCCAGATATATAAGCAGTAGAGTGCAGCGGGTGAGGTTTGTTAAGTGCTAGATGTGAATGATTGCCAATATGTATGGCATTTATTTTTGTCCACTATTTACCTCTTCGCGACTCTTTTATGCCGGCGCTCAACAAAAAGTCGGCATAAAAGAGTCGCGAAGAGGTATATAGGATTGCGTTGACGCCACCAAAACGTGAACATCACTACAAACACGGGTACAATCCATAGTCACACGGTATGACTCATACCTGTGGTATAAAGAGAGCACCGGGTGTTAGCATTGGATCAGTTACAGTATATTGTAACAACACTAATGGACATCACCTAAACATCTAGAGGTGTAGATACACATGAAATTAGCGGACGTGCGATCGTTCTGATAGACATAGTATTGCAGTCAATACATGATGTATGTTCTACACTTTGAAGGCACAGTTATTACTGGGATAAAACGATTCGTGTTTGCAATTAATATGTTATGATTTTAAAATTATAATTACAATATCTATTTATTAAATGTGACGGCAATGTTATAATTTATAATTTATGAATCATAATAATATATATTTAGCAAATGTTTTGCCAGTTATTCATGATTTGATAGAAATAATACTATAATATGGTATTTGATTGCATGTATTCCTAATGCGATAAAAATAAATTTTTCAAGCAATATATTGTACTGTTGTTAACATTAATCCGAGCAATTGGTTAGATAAATGTGTGAACACATTTTATTGCAATATTTAACGCACGTTTCAAAATTGTGATTTTTAATATATAAAAATAATACGAATACTTTTAATTATTAAGTATAAGATTATTATAATTAGCACTCAATTATTGCCTTTTGGCAAACATTTTGCCCAACGTATGTGTGGCAGGAGTGGGCGCCGACTGCTGTCCGCCCATAATCTCCACAATGTATTCATATTTTGCGGCAAAATATTCAAAGAAAAAGCGGCACTCGTTTTGCCGGATGTGTGACAACACGTGCCGACAATTGGCATCATTTGCCACATAATACTCGT